TTTTTTTTTTTTTTTGGAGTTTTCGGCCTGAACGCGCCCAGACAGTATCATCCGGCCGAATCACTGGTGTGATTTTAGCAGCTGAAGCTACTGCAGTTCGTTGATACTGTGCTAAGCTTGCAGCCGATTTTCACTCCACTGCTGCTTTTTTCCCAATAACACCCTAAAATGCAGCTGAGAAATGCACTGAACTCCGCTGCGAATCTTTTTCATGCGTATTTGCTTTGCAGCGTTAAAGCCAGCAAAAAAGCATATTGTCGAGGGGCATTTGTGTGTGCGTCTTCGGGAACGTGTGCACTTTGTCACCCACTTTCATCTCAGCAACCAGAAAAGCCCAGAAGCTGAAATTTTGGGTATATATCCCTATCCCGTGTGTCACCCTCCCATTTAAGATCTCCCCCCAGACGCGCCTAGACCTCACGTGTCTGCCCAAAGAAATATGCAAATTTCCTCGGCAGGAAACGATTTTGCGAACCAGGTAAGGTACAAAACTGAAACTTTGCAGGAATATTCTCTGTGCATATGTGAGCTAAAGATTTCAAACGCAGCTGTTGCACATGCTTGTGCAGCGCGTGCGACTACGTCGAAGTTTGCAACTTGGTACTACGCTTACTCAAAAACTTGCTGGAAAAAAACTTCGAAGTAGTCGCACGCGCTGCACAACTTCGATGTGTGTTTATCGCTCACATGGGAAATCGTGTACCTAAAATGAGTACCGATTTGCACTTGCGCCACGACTTAGGGCACTTTAAAGACATTTGTGGCGAAATGGTATTCCGCTTACCGGATAAGGTGCGAGGCCAAAAATTCGCAAGGGTATTCTACTTTCAAGTGCGGCCTTAATTCTACTTGGAGGTGAAATTCGCTGCAGGTGGGTGCAAGGAATATCCAACTTTAGCGAAAAATCAGAACTTTCATAACCTTCATCCCAACCATCGCCTTTTCTCCTGCATGCCGGAAGGGGCCAAAGCATGGACAGTATGAGCTCAGGTTTAGCTCAAGTTCAGCTCATTCCTGTTATTAGCGACCTGCCAGTTTAGTGCAAAAACGCATGACCACACCGACATGCCTGCTGCATCCTAGCCTGGGTTTAACCTGAATCCATAGTTTCTGAAAGTCCTTCAGCAGATAAATCCTGAATCCTATTGAAGGTATCCCTTGAAAATTACGCGGCACAAAGGTTTCATGTAGCTGCAAGCACTTTGCAAGCACTTTTGAAATTCTTGCTCAGTAATACCTGAAGCCTGCTCCGAAGTACTTCCTAAGTGGAAGCTTTTGGAAGCTAGATTTTTAGTAGGATGATTTTTTTTTGAGAAAATTTGACTGCCTCATGCTTAATGCAAAGACGCATGATGGCACCGGTAAACCTGGTGCGTTCCAGAATGCATTTATTAAATTTGATACAAACATATCTTTATTTGCAAATTCCAGCTTGGCTGGCATACGCAAGCAGTTTCACCACACCCCCTGATTCTAGCATCATATAATGGCTGCCCAAAATCATTGACAGCACAACAATATTTAATGAAATAACTAATATAAATTCAATAACAATTCATCCGCTATATTCTTCTGGAAGACCCGAAGGCTTAATGAAAGAGCTTAGAGGAAAATCAAAAGAAAATTCTCAAAGATAAATTAATTATTAAACAAAGAAAGTGTAAAGTTGAGGAACAGAAAGAATGAAGCGACGAAAGGCGTGCTGCTTCCGAACGCCGAACTAGAACCACGGTAATCTCGGGGTTTTATAAGCAAATCTGCCCAACAGGTACAAATGGATCTCTCCTTGCAATTTTGTAAAAATATGAAAGGCACTGTGGGTGGACCAAAGAAGAGGCAACCTGGACGAATTTTGTGCAGTTCCGAGGTTCGGGATTATAAAAAATTCCTTATTGTTTCAAAATCATCGGCAGACAAATGAAAGCATGCGTTGCCTTTCAAACAGAACAAAAAGAAGTGAATGAACAGGTACTACGAGGATATGTGAATTTCCGGACTACGTGAAACCCGGCAATATAAACTGAATAATAAAAGCCAACAAATAAATGAACTGAATGACAAGGTAAGGCACGAAAATATGCACTTGTGTAGATTCATCCAGGAACTAAAATGGCTTATGCATCAAAGTAGATGGAAGAATAAGTTTGCCACTAGCATATCTGTGGCCACCTGAATCGATTCCCCTTCAAACCCGCGAAATCCTTGTGCAGTCAGTCCTTTCACAGCAAACTAAACAGTTTTAAGGTACTAGAATGTGCAACACTTTGTTTCTTTGTAATGTGAAACACTTTGTAACCACGCTGTTTCTTGAGGAGATTTAAAAGTGTGATCAAGAGATTCAGCTAGTTGGTCGGGTTGCCACCAGTCCGGCAACAACAGATGAGAACACCCGTTCCACTTAACACGTAAAATACAGCGACTTTACTAAGTTACAGCCAGATATTTTGCGATAAATTATTTTGACGAGAACATGGACCTCAGAAGAATAAACTGCCTCAAGAGTGAGGAATGTTTTCACACTGCATAAATAACTACTAGTCATTAGCTATGCTTTAAATCACAGTTCAGGTCAAGCACATAAAACAGCATACTAAGTCACTCGGGATAGTTATTTTCTGGCACGAGAATAACAAGAAACTACTGATTCTCTTGTAAGATAAACTAATGTAAATGAATAACAACAATTTAACAAAATGACATTTTGTGTGCTGCCAAACTGACCAGTTCTTGGAAAAAGACAGGCTTTTCAAAAAAGACCTATGCTTTCCATCACTTTTCACACACCGATGTCGCAGTACTGTTTTTCCATCGTTCAAACATTCCTAGTAATTCTTCACAAGTAACAGAGAAACAACTTCGGGATAGCAGTAGAAACGTAAAGATGTGGCTTGTAGCATGAATAACGAACTGGAGATGTATCTGTCGGTCCGAATTATGAAGTAGTCCTCTAACTCTTTCGCCTAGGTCACTCACGAAGTGTTGTAGAAGCATCATCTCGGGACTGGCTTGACTGCGGGGGTTCCATGGGAGCCGGATGGTACTTCTTTTTGTACGGGAATAAGCTATACAAGAAAACAGCCATAATGACCAGCACCGTGCCAACAACAAACAGAATGGAGGAGCGAAACGAGAAGAGTAGTGCGGATGCAACGCAAGCCACGATAATAGCAATGGATGTTGCAAATGCTTTCAGGATATTGTCCGCATACTTGATCACAACGGCAACGGTAAGGCCACCAAGAGCCGAAAGAAAGATCATACCCCAAACAACGATATCAAAGCCAACCAGTAATCCTTTCTTCAGCACCTTACCACTATCTTGTATCTGAAAAAATATCGTAAAATTAATTGTACTACACATATATTCATAAATGTTTACTTTGAGAATATAAACAGACTCAACCACTTTCGAGGTCTTGCTTTCCTCATCGCTTAAAACTGATCTTTCCCCTGATCTCAAAAATGAAATAAATTTCAATTTTGTGGCTGTCTGACATCAGAATTTGTAAGATTTGAAACGCTTCCTCATCACAGGAAGCAAGATACCGCCAAAACATTCAGTAAGACGAAAAAATGTAAAAAATGCGGAGTTAAATTTGCAGTAGAGAGAACGTGGAGCCGGCTGTTTAGAAGTCGAAACTCACGAAAACGTTGGCCAAACCGACGGGAAGTGAGATGATTGAGAGCTGTACGTTTCGCACAAAGACCGACACATCGGAGCCTTTCAGAATTTTCTCGAAGTATATGCCGGCGAAACCTGCAAATTATGTGAATTGCTCAAAACGTCTGATACTTTTATAATGGCAACGCAACAACCTTAGCGTGTGAGATAAAAATATTAGTTAAGTGCTCGACACACCAATCATTTCCACCTTCATTCTTCTTATAATTAATTCACTACAACCGTCATACTGATGAGGTCCAGTTGTGATGTTGAAAAAGAATTTATATGACTTGATGAGCCCAAACATTTCTGTTCTGCGAGGTGTTTTTCGTCTTAAAACATTCTTATATTTCCTATTTCAAATGTAAACGGTGATGGCTAAGTTTTTTACAACAATATTAGCTAATTTGTACTCCGTACCTGATAAAATACAAGCGACCAAAACTGCAATAAAGCCTTTGAGAGGACTTTGCTCCACAATATGTTTGTGAACTGCAACATCCTGCGCTGTTTTGGGAGTAGTTTGGTCTAGCGTCATGTTTGCTTTCTCCGCGGACTTCGCTGCTTCTTTGGCTTTTTGCTCATCCTGAATTTTCAGTTATACCCGGTTCTATTAATTCATTAATCAGGCCGGTATGCTCAT